CACTCAAAACAAGAAATTGTTCTACTCTCCTTTTTCTAATAACACCAATATTATCTCGGATTACTCGTCCGCATATTCGCATTCGCAATGCTCGTCGCTCAGGTGATGGATCAAATGCTCTTTGGTTTCGAATAAGCGAGAGGAGGAAATTTCTCAGAAATCTAAAGCAAACATGAGAAAAAAAAATTAAACCCTTCCCAAATGAAATCGTTACTGTTTGCTAAAAGGCCAAAGGCGTCAGAATTGTTATAGAATTTGTAAAATTGTAAATGTTAGTCTGGAATCTCTAGTTTTGCAGAAGTTGTAGCTGTTATAGCTTTATGCTTTCTTGCCCTTATAAAGGCCGGGCGAAGGGAGGGGGGTGGAAAGGTACGTCCAGTAGCTTGCCGTGGAAAAATATGATTTAGGGCCTGAAGGGGTTTACTTTATGGTTTGCGGTTTATAGTTCAGGTCATATTTCTAAAATTATGGCATGGCTTATATGGCTTGAGGGCTCAAATTCACTTTGAAATATGTTTGATGACAATTTAAGGCACGCAGAAAATAAAAAAGTGCTCAGAAAACTTCGAATTTGGGTAGATTTTAAGGTATGCGTTATTGGTTTGACGCTCGGATCCCTCTTGTGCTATTAGAGTCTTAGCGCATCTAGATTGATGCACTGAACGAAGAGCTTTGAGGAGGCAAAGGTCCAAATTTAATTTTTTAATCTCATTTGAGTCATGTCTACATGACGGAATATCACTTTCCACTGATATCTGGTTATTTATGGTCTCATGAACAAGTATCAAGATTTTTAGGAAAAGGAAGTACATAGAATGAAGATGCCGCAGAAATTGTGGATAAAATTGATCATTGGTGGAAATTTCACTTGCTGATACGATTTTCCTATTTATTTTCATTTTCATCGAAGTGATGACGATTGTCAGAAAACGAGAAGGGTTGGCAATGTTTTGAGAAATAAGTCGAAATAGGGATAATTTGCTGCTTTGCTATAATTTGCTAAGACTCTTTGTGCATGGAGGAGGGGGGAGGGGGCGGGGACGAGGAATAGGATCTTGCAGAATTGTGAATCTTACCATCAGAAAATAAGAATTATAGATGAGGGAACTCCTTTTCCCACTCTATTTCCTAATTCTTCCTTTCAAAAATTACGCCTACGAAAAGCTTTTACAGCTTCGTTGATTGAGAAAGCTTTTTAGCTCCAGGGGACATAATTTATTCACTAATAAAGGAGAAGGAACGAAGATGAAAATGAAATTTTTGAATGAACACCAAAAAATCTAAGAGAATGAGAAAAGGGCGTTGCAGGATATTTGCCTTGACGATATATAAATACATATACAGTGCTGGCCAAAATTATAGGTCCACTATAAAAAATGCCATAACTCACTCTGTTGTGAATGGAATTTTCCAAAATTTGGTACAGACGTGTGTTTACCAGCCTACTTACAGTCTTCAAAACGGTTCTCGTTTTCGTTAGATTATTCAAGAAAAAATTAGAAATTTTGAAAAAAGCAGGCTTAAAGGCTGGCCAAAATTATAGGTCCACCTGGAGTTTTTACTGATTAAAGCACTTCTTAGCTCCCGAATTTTTTTAGGTAGGCACACATCCAAAAACGTTAAACAGCTGCATTGGTCAAGCTGTGTCATACCTCCAAAAAGAACTGATTATCTGCTTTCTTGCCTTGAAGATGCACTCGCATGTATTTCGCACCACAAACCTGCGTTGAGTAAGAAATTCTGCAGTTTCTCAGCTGGATCGGAAGGGACGGGCTTTCATCTATCTTCTGAATGCTTTTTGACGTGAGCATTGAGGAAAAAATCCGGCTTTTTGCTGCTGAAGCAAATCTGACATTGACAGTACTGCAATCCTGAGCTCAAATTTCTGCCTTCAAACTTCTTTTAAAATGTTCTCAGAAGCATTGAGTAAAGTAAAGGCATTGCTTCTATGAAGGGGAGTCCGTATACCATAATTACAACTTTCTAGAGATCCTAGCATTCGAGTATAATTACTGAAATCACTCTGCAGAAAGTGATTACGACAAGCACCAAAGCTAATTGTGGCTCCGACCAAAATTTTCGGAAGAATCATGTGCTAACATACACTACAAGCTGTATCCACTATCTAGTAAATAATTACTGTCAAAAATCTAAGTGTAATCAAAAATCTAATCACTTGGGAAGCTATTTTGGATCGCGTAACACCATTATTACGTTGCACACACAACTCATGTTTCGAAAAAGAAGCAAGGCAGGGCAGCTTTGTGGACACTTGCGAGTATGGCGAACAGCTTTATTCTTGTGTGAAAAATTCTTCTACAATATCTTGAGGTTATAATGGCAATGCATAAAGGGTTTTAGGGCAGAAACTGAGGCTTACTCTGCCGATTAAGCCCATGTCAGATTTGCTTCAGCAGCAAAAAGTCGGATTTTTTCCTCAATGCTCACGTCAAAAAGCATCCAGAAGATAGATGAAAGCTCGTCCCTTCCGATCCAGCTGAGAAACTGCAGAATTTCTTACTCAACGCAGGTTTGTGGAGCGAAATACATGTGAGTGCATCTTCAAGGCAAAAAAGCAGATAATCAGTTCTTTTTGGAGGTATGACACAGCTTGACCAATGCAGCTGTTTAACGTTTTTGGATGTGTGCCTACCTAAAAAAATTCGGGAGCTAAGAAGTGCTTTAATCAGTAAAAACTCCAGGTGGACCTATAATTTTGGCCAGCCTTTAAGCCTGCTTTTTTCAAAATCTCTAATTTTCTCTTGAATAATCAAACGAAAACGAGAACCGTTTTGAAGACTGATAGTAGGCTGGTAAACACACGTCTCTACCAAATTTTGGAAAATTTCATTCACTACAGAGTGAGTTGTGGCATTTTTTAGAGTGGACCTATAATTTTGGCCAGCACTGTATATAAAGCAGTTTCCCAAATTTCCCATTCCCCCCTCTCCCTCCCCCCCCCGGCCTATCTTGCACTGAACACAAAGTATAAACGTTCTTATTGTATGTAGTCAGGCGCCAGCTGTCGAAATAAATGCTTACGCCCCTCCCCTCCCTCCTCTACCTTTTGAGCCCCTTTGTGAACCATATATCAAAAACAGACTGTCAGGGCCAAGGAAATATATTTCAAAAGCAATTTGTGCTACTTTGTACTTGTTGGAATAGGAGTTCAAACACCACTCTTATGAGAACGATTACTGGAACGTAGATCTTGAAATAGATTAGGAAGAGAGGAATGAGGCCGTTCCACTCAAAAATTCCGAGAAGTTCTGGCTATTGACGTCTACCACATAGGGGCATGAGACTTTTTAAATTATGACTGGCTACATTTTCAACACCCATCGCTGTCATAAGACTGATATTGCTATTGAAGCATCCTAATAGGGCGCACGAGAATAAAAATAACCATGAACATTTGCGTGGTGGAATTTAATTGGAGGCATGCGGTTTAGAAATAGCTATGGTACATTTCTGTTCTGGAGGGTGTCAGAACAGAAACTATACAAAAAAATTGAGCCAATAGAAATTAGAAAGCAAACTAGGCTAATAATCTTTTTTTTTTTCAAACGCAGCAGCATCACAAGAATTTTTTCCTCAACCATAGATATCTCAATATTTCTTGCAATTTCATTATTTTTGTACCTATATTTCTTAATTAGAACATGCCAAACTTGCCAATATTGTAGCTCTGTAATCAAATCTTGTTCAATCTTACTCAAAGACACTGTTCAGGCATATGAGTACAAAAAAGTGCAAAAAATTTTAAGAAAATATCAAATAAATTTACTATGAAGAGCTTAGATGTCTTAAACCATTTTCCAAACCAAATTGAGATATTTCATTTGGGACCGGACTTTGAACCGTCCAGCCTTATCTCGCTAGCGTAGCTGATCGCTGATTGGTCCGCTCGGATAGAGTACGGTATTGATTCATACTGTATTGTCTTGTGCACAGACATACCACATAAGAAGTGTAAGCACAGATTCGCTTTGGCACTAATTTCACAGCGTCATATTCCCTGTTTAAAAAATTACATTTTACTTTTCAAATCAGTCAAGAGTATAGGAATGTTGTCCTACAATAAAGCAATATATGGGAAATTTTTTGCTTTGAGTGATATACATTCAACACTATATCGTGGAAGCTGCTATAAGATTAGAACAACAAACCTAGTGTGGGCGTGGCAAAAAGCACCTTAAGAAATATGCGTTCAAAGCATATTACTATAATTGAAGCATCTGTCCTAAAGGCATTGCCAATTTTTTCTTAGAAGAAATAGATCAGATGCTCAGGATGCAAAACAAAAAGAATCAAACAATACGTTTTTAGAAAAAATCGTCAACAATTTTCTTCCTCTCGCTTTTGTAGATAATTTCTGCTCAGAAGACAGTGTCATGATTTTCGAGAGTAATTGTTTTAAGAGTCAAACACTTCAAGTTTCGTAGTCCAGTGGCTTCCAAAGCCCGTGTAAATGCCTGTATCTTCCACAGTAGAATTCCACTTCATTGTTTTTGCGCTCAGCAGGCGCTTTGGATCTGCTTTAGCATGAATAACATTGCGCTTCCATAAACAAAATAATCGGAAGTAAATTTTGCAGTCTGCTGCAGATGCACAATGGTTGTGTCGCCCATGTAGAAGTGATAAGTGGCTTTAGGGAAGATTAAGAGGAAGAAGGTGGGAGTGGGGGAGGAGAGGAGGAAGCGAGGAAAAAATCGTCAAGTTATTCTCTAGGGATTGCTAGATTATAAGTCAACTGAAAATAGCAAGAGTTAGAAGGATATTCGGAGAAGAGAAGGGGAAAGGATAAAGTAAAAAAACCAAGTTTATAGTCGAGTCATCGCACGCCGAGACAACGCGCCAATGCGGACACTGTCTGCGTCTCTTATATCAAACCCAGTCTCATCTATCTTGCGCCGTCTGCTATCTCTTGCAAACAGGTACTGTCTCAGTCAAACGCAACTGGGACCAGCCTCTGGGTGCGCTGACTCGTTTATACGTACCTTGACGAGTTGTTGTAGGAGTCATAGTACTCAACACTCATGGTTTAGTCCTTTGCAGAAAATAATTCTGGAATTTTTGATTTTTATCCACCGATTTTTCACAAAGAAAATAACGAAAATCCGAAGCAATGATACAACCTTTTGGAGATTTGCTAGAAAATTTTTTTCTAAAGGATTTCATAAACAGCTATGAAAAGAAATGAAAAAAGGAAGCAATCGCCTGCAGCCAAGTGATTCATAACTCAATGTATGAATGGCACAAGACGCGCACAAATTCACGACTTATATGCCAACATATTGCTGATTCTAAAAAATTCTTGCTTTCTTCTCATTTTTCTGCTCTGATAGACAAATTAGATGTAAGAGATTGTTTCTAAACAGTTTTCTCGCTGAATTTATTTCTGAACAGTTTTCTCGCTAAATTTTGCTGCTATATACCAGTAGAAAGCCGTGAAATGCAGTGTGCATTTTAGATATCGACCTGAATGGCCGATTTTCATTATCTATCGATGAGACTAATTGAGAAGATACGAGAAATGTTCATGAAGAAAAAAAGCCAATTAGAATTTCGAAACAAGCATAGCAATGACGTCAGATGAGTGTTGCAGAAGTGCGAGACTGGGAAATTCAACTGCAGAAAAACATCAGACGAGATTCACATCAGTAATGGACGACAGTGATGTCGCTAATTGTTTTAGGGAAAATACAGCCTCCCAAAGGGGGGAAGGAGGGTAGAAATTTTTGAGCTCGAACATTTTGGAGAAATAGTAGGGAGTGTAGTGAATAGAGTTCAAATATAAAAGTACCCTCTAAATGTTTTTATCACATTAAAAGGGAATTACTACACATTACCCGCTTGAACATAATTTATCACCTCAATCCAGTTTGGATCCGAATGCAGAGGGGATCCAGAGTGCGCGAAATTCGAATATTTACCGCACGGAACTGCCACTTACAAAAGTTGCCAAAAGTTATTATTGCTGTAGCGCGCAAGTGAATCGAAAGGTACAGCGATCAGCATCAAATCCGGATCCAGCCTGGATCCACAGTAACTATGGACAACCCCTTTCATGGGCTATGACAGCGACAAAGCGCGAAATTCAAAAAAAAACAAATCTTTTGCACGCAATAGGCTAGTTTTCGCACAAACAAGTATATGACATCATTTGCGAACGAACGGAAATAAGAACGAACCATGAAAAATTCTGAAAACCTGGAAGTGTGTGGAAAGCGCTTGTACATCTTTTTTGGAAATGACTTGGGCATTTGACCGAGAACTGCCCATAGGGAGTAGGCAAATTTCCCACTCCACAGAATTTTCGAAAGTTTTTATCATTTCTAATCTATGCTAAAGGTATAATACTACACAAAAACAAATTGGTCTTAAAAGTCTTTCTCTGCTCTTCGCAAGGACCCGAACAGCATTAGCTCAGGAAGGAAAGCGCGCTCCAACCGAACAGTATGGCGCAGTGGCGCTCCAGTTGGGTTTTAAGCTACAGAGCAAGATTTTGTTTCATTTTTGTCCGTTCCTTTTCTAAAATTCTGCGCTGCCGTCTCTTTTCATTCTGTAAACTTTGGATACTGCTTATGAAAATGGAATATTTAGATCAAGTCTTGTAAAAAAGAGAAATTCTTCATTAGAATAAAACTAAGTTGCATTTATTCCTCCAAACCCCTTGCCTTCCACCCCCCTTCCTCCATTTCAATATGGCACTATGCCAAAGCCCGATGTTGTCCTTTCCACAGTACCCACAAATTACTTGTTTTCTTACCAAATTGGTGCAGACCAACACTTAAGTGCTTTTTCTGCTCCCGCATTACCCCGACTACGTCCGCCTGGAAGAATGTGATCCAATCAAATTTCGTTAGTAGAAGAAGCTTCCTTGTCGAAATACTTTGAGATTTACCGCGATTATATAACAGAAATATGAAAACATAATGGGGCTCCAATAAAACTTTCTGGGATTTGAAGGGATGGAAACAGAAAAAGAAGAAAAACTTCCTTAGACGGGGGCTGCGGGATAAAGAAAATGGTAGGAGTAAATTGTTTATTCAGCTATTGGTACTAAATAGTCATACTTGAAAAGAATTGTTCCTCATAATCTATCTTAATCAAAAATTCATTTCAATAAGCACTTCAAAAGAATTGAAAATCCTTCGGAACGTGAACGTAAACAGTATACGTTCCTATATCGTAAGAATTCCGTCATTCTTTTTTACAAAAAGAAAAAAAAGGCGATCTTCTAAAGCAACCCTGATGCAAGATGGAAATATAATCTGGGTACTTCCTGAATTCCCTGCCATTCTCCCTTCCTATATAAAAATCAAGTTTTTTCTTGCGATAGCTGATGACAATATTCAAATTGAATAAACGTTCCTGTCAACTAACACTTTCCAAGCAGTTCTTGCGAATAAAAATTTGCATGCGACGCTTAAGTTAGACTACTTCAGGATAATTTTTTACAGTTTCCCAGAGTTTTTGCACGCATTCGAAGGTGTAGATGCTACTGAGTATCGTAATTCATGACTTTTGTTGCATTTTTTGCATTACCTCAAGACTTAAGAATGAAAAAGGCCAAATTTAAAAAAAATTTTGGAACTTTTGGAAAAAAACGTAGCATTTTTATATCTAACTAGTCTACGGTTTGAACCTTCAAAAGCACGATAGCCGAATTTGATGAAATATAAAAAATTCAAAAAATCTGGGTCGGTAGTAATCTGGTCGAAACTTCGAGTTTGAAGCTCCGCGTTAATTCAGAGATAACTCTGAGTTCCGTTTTTGAAACTCCGAGTTACGCTTATTGAAACTCTGAGTTCCGCCTTCGTAATTTCGATCAACTCTCAAGCTCGGAGTTTTGCTTTGAGGAGCTGTTAAGCACTTTGCTGCAAAAGCGACGTTAAAGTAGGGACTCGAACCTGTATGGTCTAGCGTAAAGATCCTATCACTAAACCGCTAGACCATGACACACCCATGAACCCTAAAATTGCTTTGCCATAATGTACTCACTCATTCCATTAACACTTAGCAGGTCAAAACAAGTTATACCAAACCCTCACTCATTTCCATTTCTATCGGGCAGTGATGGTTCATCACGAGAATTGGTCTTTTGCGCAGCTGAAAGCTTCAAACAATAGAGAAAACGGATGGCATACGCAATGATAAGAATTGACTATTAGGATTTGCGCACATAATAAATCCTCCGGGCAAAGTTGCCCTTCCATGATTTCGCCTTACTTACCGTATACCTACCGTAACCGTTCCATATGTCACCAGTGTATGTAGCAGATAGATTGTCCGTAATCTGCATCCCGAATAACTCCAGTGTACCAAGTTTCGATCAGTTTCGTGATTTTCTCCTATCTACCGTAAACCTACCGTAACCTCGTCAGATGACACCACAGTATAATCTGCATGTCATATTCGTTATCTGCGCCCCGAATAACCCCAGTGTACCAAGTTTCGATCAGTTTCGTAATTTTCTCCCATCTACCGTAAACCTACCGTAACACCCCTACATGACTCCATAGTGAAAAATGGGTACCATATGCGTGATTAGCGCACCGAATAACCCCCTGGGCCGAGTTTTTACAAAATTTCAAAATTTTGTAAATCACTGCGCACCACGATACCCCCATCATGCCTGCTTAAACTACGAGCAAAATGTACCCCGGAGGACTTTTTAGCTGCCCCTCTTCTTTTGCGCACTATTTCTCTTTCTCTGACCAAACTCAGAGTTATCTCTGAGTTCCACGATAGACTGGAACGCGCATCAAACTCAGAGTTATCGCAGACACTAGTTGCGCGTTTGGAGGCGCTGTTTCTTGTGCAGGACGATTTGGACAATGTTGCGCTACTAGGAATAAACTACGTGTTAAGGAGAATCCTGCCATATCATCGCTTTCCGGATTTGATCTGTTCAAACACCTGTTAAAGGGGTCAAAAAGTTGCGCGTTAGCTCAGAGATAACTCAGAGTTGACTCTGAGTTATAACTCTGAGTTTCGATAGGTTTACTACCGACCCTGAAAAACAAACTTTGCAGATAGCTAAGACCGAGGCAGAATTAAACACGCAAAACGCTCATAACTTTTGCACCACCCTTTCTTCCTCAAAGTGTTTAAGCCCCAAAAAAAGCTTTTCAGAATTCACACGGTTGTACAAAGACTTTTGCAGACGTTTCAACTTCTTTCTAGTGCTCTCATTAGCAAAGACGATGTTAATAGTTGTTAATAGTTGTTTTTCAAATTATATGCTGTTAAAGAATAGAAATTGAGAGCATTTCCATACTCACATGAATATCAGGAAAAAAATATTTTTGAATGGACCAAACTAGTATTCAATGTTTATTTTCGAATGCATAAGAAAGTAGAGTTTTCAAAAGTTTGATTACTTTTTTGTAAGCGTAGATTTGTAATATTCGTAGCAAAAAACTGTTGCAGAAAATCGTCTTCTCAGACAAAACCGGATAGACCAAAAAATCCAGGTGCACTTACAGTATAGAATTTCAAAATTTTTTTGTAGTCTCTTTTTGCAAGAAAAGAATAACAAGTTCAACAAGTTTTCCCTTCCTTCCGCAAAAACTTCCCATCCTTCATTCTAAAGTAGGTATCAGTTTTTCATAAAAATCTTATATATGTAGCTATCAGAATTGCCGACGATGGGTGCCAAAAGGTAGTAAAAATTTTAATTCCATCAAAAAGTATGTAGAGATCAAAAAATTTGTAGTGAGAATATTTACTGGAGAATATATGTAGATCAAAAAGTGCAGTACATGGAGTGAAGGTGGCAAAAAAATTTCAAGGATAGTTAAATTTGTGAATTTTTTAGATAACTGAAGTTTCCTCGCATGCATTGTAATGTTTAATATTTATTCCAATATACAAATAAAATATAATATTCACTTAGCTCAAATTGAGGCGGTTAAAAATGGACATGGAATGAGGAAACTGTAAGAAATAATTTAAATTTATCTTCTAAAGTCTGTTGTGAAGGTAGAGACATAGTTTCCAAATCAGGTAATCCCCCCCCCCCCCCAATTCCTCCCTCTTGTTTTGCAAGAGAAATACAAA